TTTTCAATGACTTGTTAACTACTTTTTAGGGTCACCTAAAAATTATTTTTTAAAACTATTATATTATTACGGTTGTTCAGCCACCTGTGAGGTTTTAATTACAAAATTCTGTTTTTTATAATCCCATTTTTATTGCCATTTCAACTTTGTAAAGCGCTATATAAAAAATAATAATAATAATAATAATGGAACCACATAAAAAATTATGGCAATTATGATTGGACCACAATGCACTTCTTGATTGCATTGAACATTGCAGCTTGATCACATTTATTTATTGAAACAGGAATTCAATGTTGTCAAAGATGATATGACAGATGTAGATTTTATTTTTGGGGTAGCCAATCAGATGTATAGATGATACGTGTTTATTTTTAGGTAGCCAATCAGATGTGCAGATGATAGGTATTTATTTTTGGATAGCCAATCAGAAGTGTAGATTGTAGGTGTTTATTTTTGGGTAGCCAATCAAATGTAGTCTTGTAGATAACTAAGTATACTCCATAGTATTTATGTTGTGTACATTATGGCATGTACACACAAATTTTAGTCAAATTTAAATCTTTTCCGAAATAGACATTAGATGAGAATGGCTGCCTAGATTTCGTTGACAGCGAAAATTGCCACAAAATTTGTATTTTATCTTTCAAATCCTGTACTTGTAACAGTAACGTGATGTTGAGGGAAATAGGACAACGCTATTTGAGGAGGGAAAAAACACTTGTCTTGCTTTTGTTCTCAACTAGATCTGAGTAGCCATTTGCGATTAAGGTCTGTTTGATTGAAAAATGTAAAATATCGCACATCCTTTATAAAAAAAAATCCTGAATATTTGGACAAATTATATTACATCATTATTGAGTTGTCTTTTGCATTTACATCCATTTTTCTGTCGGAAGTTTGGTAAAATAATTAGTCTAAAAGACCCAGCATCAGAACAATGTTTCTGGCAAATTCCAGACTGTGCTTTTGTATGTTAATCGAAAATTTGACGAAACATTTTTAACAGATGATAATTTTTTCATTTAATTTTGTGTCTAAAAAGTGCTAATATATTATTCCACATGCATCTTATTATGCACCTTTTTTTCTTCTGTAACTGTGTTTTTTTTGTATTTATGTCTAAATTTGACAAAGTGAAGGTATGAATCAGCACAGCTGCACAGCGTATACTGGCCAGTAGGCACAGCTTTTCCTAAGCCACTTTTTTTTTCTTTTCTTTTTTCATGATGTAGAAATAAGTGTTCAAAGCATTGTTACACTGGGAACCTTTTGGGTATATGCATAATTAATGTGGATTATGCTGTCCTGCCTTATAGGGGTCTGTTTCATTTAGCAGTTGTTGGATTTTCTCACATAGTATTGTTTAATGGTG